CTTGTATACTCTGAGCTCAACCGTGAGGTAGAAGCTGAACTTGACCCTGATCTACACCCTGAGCTATCTTAATCTAAACCCTGAGCTAGTCTCTAATCTAAACCCTGAGCTAAACTCTAATCTAAACCCTGAGCTAGACTCTAATCTGAACCCTTAGCAGGAGCATAATATGAACTCTGGGCTTGACCATGAGCTAGACCATAATCTGAATCCTGAGCTATGAGTCCCGGAGAGAGAGAGAAACCCCAAACTAAGCACTACACTGCATGTTGAACACTATATACGTGCTGTATGAGAACTAATGTGAAACTGTCCTCTCTCTCACCCAAACACACACACAAACCCTCACGCAAACACAATTAAACGGCATCTCTTCTGTCATCTCAAAACCGGATACAAACATTTCATCCCCTTTACTCTCACTCCTCACATTAGCTATTCTTGATCATAATTTCGTAAATATCTTTCAACGCCAACTTCTCTCCATTCCATAGTTGGTAGTCCTTGTTCCCTCTTACAACTAAAAATAATCAGTTTTCGGAGAGAAAAAAAGGTTATCTATTTCATCGTTGCTTCTCGAAACTACATCTACTGTTCCTTTCAGGGAATTTTTCATATATTTGCCATAAAATTTAATTTTAGAAACCCCTTTAATTTTAGCAAACCCCTTTAATTTTAGAAACCCCTTTAATTTTAGAAACCCCTTTCATTTTAGCAAACTTTTTTAACTTTGAAACTAAAACAACAATATAAGTTTTATCACATGATGACTAAAAATTTTTAATACTCCAAAATTAGATCCTTGTTGCATAATGTAAATATGCCCCCCAGGCCCGGAGAGAATTATAATTGATGATTTATCTATCGGAAAATTATCTCCACCCATTTTAAAGGAACTATAGAGCTATATTTGGAATTAGCTTTCTAAAATAAAAACTCGTTCAATTTCAAGCACACCCATGGTGTTCAAGGCTATTGTAGACACAAAACAGCTGGTCAATATGTCGACAATGATATTTATAAAATCTCAACTTCGGGAAGAGGTTGATTTTATGCTTGGTTTCTGGTATGACTTTGCAACCTAGTCCTTCATCCATTTTTCAGTTTACTCAAAAAATGAAGAAAAAAATCTGTGTGTAAAAAATTGCAAACGTATTTTTTTCTTTCCAATGTCTGTAATAAATAAAGTAATAACCCCCATATAATGGAAACCTGAATCTACCTGTATTATATAGTAATAACCCTAATTAACATGTCTTGTATATATATAACTATGTTCTTTAGTCTCTGAATAGACCTATCGGTCTATTACATTTTTACCTGTATCATGTAAATACTCAAGAATACAGAGAGATTTGTATCTGGATTGATACATACTTGAAGTACTATTGGAGTAAGGCATTTGTTACATGTCTCATCAGAAAATGGAGTTGTATTAAAAACTTTATTTTGTATTAGAGACGTGTTTCTTTTCTAGAAAACAGATTACAACTTTAACAAATATTTTTTGGTAAATATTCCAGAGTTTTAACCTCCAGACTTTAACATTATTCACCCTGTAATCCTTTAACCTCCTGACTTTAACATTATTCACCCTGTAATCCTTTAACCTCCAGACTTTAACATTATTCACCCTGTAATCCTTTAACCTCCTGACTTTAACATTTAACCTCCTGACTTTAACATTATTTACCCTGTAATCCTTTAACCTCCAGACTTTAACATTATTCACCCTGTAATCCTTTAACCTCCTGACTTTCACATTATTCACCCTGTAATCCTTTAATCTATCCAACCAACATCTGACCCAACACCATATCTTCTATAAAATCCCGCATTTTTGTGTACTATACAGTTACAAACAGAAAACTCTGAAATAGGAAGACGACTTTTAGGCTCAAGTTCTTACTTTGAATTGTCCAATGAGCGACATAACAATTGTGTAGTGTGAACAGACCCATTTATCTTAATTAGTGATTTAATGAAGTCTAGTAAAACTATTGCCTTTGTAACAACACTTAACTATTGCTATTAAGTCGTCCTCCAATTTCAAATTTATTTGGTTTTCGCATGTAATATACCATAACAGAGTACATCGTACAATTACTGTGTTTCATGTCGATTTCACGAGCTTGATATTATCTATTTTATACGCACGACCTAATATTATATTAGTATTGATTTATCCCATCTTGATTTTTTGTCTTGTTTTTGTTCATTCGAGATAATTTAAAATATTTGTCCGTTTAATTATCCAATTTATTAAATAGTGTACGTTTACTTGAGTCTAACATAAGCCTAGCTTCATAATCCACACTTTTATATCATTTATAAACTGTGTATGTCCAGAGATACTCACTTGGAAATAGAACATTGAGACTAATTAACTAGTAAGCATGTAAACAATTCTATCTGTTTATTTATATATCCATCTATCTGAAACATCTGTATATTTAACCGTCTATCTGTATTTCTGTCCATCTGTTTTTTTATCTGTCTATCTGTCTATCTGTCTATCTGTCTATCTGTCATCTATCAGTCTATCTGTCTATCTGTCTATCTGTCTATCTGTCTATCTGTCTATCTGTCTATCTGTCTATCTGTCTATCTGTCTATCTGTCTATCTGTATATCCGTGTCTATTTGTCTGTCTGTCTATTTTTCTATCTGTCTATTTGTCTATCTGTCTATCAATATATTTGTCTATCTGTCTATATTAATATCTGTCTATCTTTCCATCACTGTCCCTCTTATTATGGAGGTGTATAGAATAATATTGTTTCTGTCGATATAGATCTCATCATTTCGGAAACTTATGCTAACAAAATAGTTTAAAGATAATTGTGTTGCCTTATTTTCTTATATACTTTTTTGCCGGCATAAACTTTTTGAATGAAAAGTATAAGACAAACAAATCTTTAAGTTTAAAGATTGTTTAATTATAAACCAAAACGCATATATGTCCTCTCACGCTTGTTAGTCTGGGGAGACTCCCCCCCCTTCACCGCCACCTTACCCCTCTTCGCATCTAGAAAGTACCAGGGTTTATCTCATTAGTTTATTCATATATTAGATAATGTTGGTTTAATTTTTACCCGTTAACCCTATCCCTCTGGGCTAGTTTTATTATGTGTCGGTTGAGGGAGGTCTAAAAATTGTAAAAAGTTTAGACATGTGAGATTGACTTAAACGACAAAACTACGATTCTATTTCAGGAAAATGAAGATGAGCTTTGAATATAGATAGTCATGTTTTCCTAGATTGTATTTGAAGATTTATCTCTCTTTAATCTCAAACAAATAGAATCAAACATTCAAAACAAAACAATATATTCATCTGTAAAAATCTTCGATTTCCTTTCTCAAAAACTTTTTTTTCATTTTACAATTTGTTTTTTAGGAAACTGAAGACCTACCATTTTTGCAACCTGATCGTGTAAACCTTTTAAATTTCTAACTTTGACTATTTTATCTTGCATAAATGATAGTTTGAAATATCTAAAGTTTATGAACAAAGGGTTGGGAAGATATGAGGATTAGAAAATGTAAGTTTGAAGCTATAGAACGTGTTCAGTTTCTTTGGGTTCAAAGCTACAAAATTCAATTCCTTTCCATAAATAAATAAATGATATTGATTATAATATATATAAATATATATTTTTGTATTCAACCTTACTTTACTATTATGAAAAGAAATGTACTATAGATACATTGTGTTTCATGTTTCATATATATGTGAACTATGTTCATAATATAACCCTGAATCAATTGTATGAAGTCTACTTATGAATCAAGCCCTGACAAAACTATAATTTAATTGACAAAGAACCGTCTACTCTACTACTACCACAAAGAACCGACTACTCTACTACTACGACAAAGAACCGACTACCTACTACTACGACAAAGAACCGACTACTCTTCTACTACGACAAAGAACCGACTACTCTACTACTACGACAAAGAACCGACTACTCTACTACTACGACAAAGAACCGACTACTCTACTACTACGACAAAGAACCGACTACTCTACTACTATAACAAAGAACCGACTACTCTACTACTACGAAAAAAAACCGACTACTCTACTACTACGACAAAGTACCGACTACTCATGTGCTCCTGTCATACTTGTAATCAGCTTTATTTCAGGTCATTCGGTCTTTCAAGGACGCAAAGATCATAGATAATGGAGGAGGGAGGGATTATAATAATGAGATACAGTGGTCCCCCTGAATATTGAAGGATGGAGGATTATAATGGAGATATATATATTCATCTGTAAATGAAAGCAAGATAAAAAAAACGTGAAAGGATATTTGAGTGGATGCCATTTTGCTTTCATTGTTTTTAAAATAAACAAAGTCCCATCTCCCACCCTTTTCATCTTCAATATATGAATATTTCGAGAGTGGAATTCCGTCTTTCTTAAATTCCTGTTCACATATTTATTATTCTACACATCATCTCTCCTCTACTTGTAAACCTATACCCAACCCTTCGGCTCTATTCAATACAGGGTGTCGCAATATACACAGGGAGTTCCAGTATACACAGGGTGTCCCAATATACACACGGAGTTCCAGTATACACAGGGAGTTCCAATATACACAGGGAGTTTCAGTATACACAAGGAGTCCCAATATACACAGGGAGTTCCAGTATACACAGGGAGTTCTAATATACACAGGGAGTTCCAGTATACACAGGGAGTCCCAATATACACAGGGAGTCCCAATATTTACAGGGAGTCCCAATATACACAGGGAGTCCCAATATACACAGGGAGTTCCAGTATACACAGGGTGTCCCAATAAACACAGAGAGTCCCAATATACACAGGGAGTCCAAATATACACAAGGAGTCCTAATATACACAAGGAGTCATAATATACACAGGGAGTTCCACTATACACAAGGTGTCCCAATATACACAGAGAGTCCCAATATACACAGAGAGTCCAAATATACACAAGGAGTCATAATATACACCTCTCACCTTCTCATGTGACCTGTTCAGCCTACTTTGGGAAAACCTTCTCACATTCTGCAACCAGGTTCTAGAAATATAAAACATGTTTAAAGGGACAGAAGACCAGGTTCTAGAAATATAAAACATGTTTAAAGGGACAGCAGACCAGGTTCTAGAAATAACATGGTTAAAGGGACAGCAGACCAGGTTCTAGAAATATAAAACATGTTTAAAGGGACAGCAGACCAGGTTCTAGAAATATAAAACATGTTTAAAGGGACAGCAGACCAGGTTCTAGAAATATAAAACATGTTTAAAGGGACAGCAGACCAGGTTCTAGAAATATAGAACATGGTTAAAGGGACAGCAGACCAGGTTCTAGAAATATAAAACATGGTTAAAGGGACAGAAGACCAGGTTCTAGAAATATAAAACATGTTTAAAGGGACAGCAGACCAGGTTCTAGAAATATAAAACATGTTTAAAGGGACAGCAGACCAAATTTCAACTAGCTTTAATTTTAGAGAATGGCATGTCCGATTCAGAACAGTCCCTTTAAACCTCTGTCTGATCCTCGATGACAGAGAATTCCGAATATTCAGACTGGAAATTGAGTTCCGTGAAACTTGAATGTTATACACTTTAACCTCCAGATAACCGGGACTCAGTTTTCAGCCTGAAAAGCAGGGAATTCTCCGTCATCTGTGATCAGAAGGCTCAGTTTCAATTGCCATAATATTTTTGCCATAATTACGCTTGACATAATACTTTTGCCATAAGTAACACTTGCCATAAGTCACACTTGCCATAAGTTATACTTGCCATAATTACACTGGCTATAATTACTTTTGTCATAATTTTCTAATGGAGGACCCTTTGGTGACCTTTGAGACCACAAGTAAGGGTAAACCAATGGGTCGAGACAGCAACAACTACACCTATGTAGCCAATGCCTCGTCTACAGAAGTGAAATATTTGAAATGTTCGGTTAAAATGTGCTCAGATAGAATTCGAACCCGAATTTCTTCCTCAAACTCAAATGAGAGGATTGCTAACATTGTCCTACAGTACAATACTCTTCCCATAGAAGAGTACCTAAACCTAATAGCTCATGAACTGTCTCTGCATTAGATTTGTAATTTGTATTCAATTTGTAATTGTAAAAAAAATATAAATATACGTTTGTTAATTCAAACCAAATTTAATTTTAATTATGGCAAGAGTAATTATAGCAAGTGTAATTATGGCAAGTGTAACCATTATGGCAAGTGTAACTTATGGCAAGTGTAATTTATGGCAAGTGTTACTTATGGCAAATGTATTATGGCAAATGTAATTATGGCAAAAATATTTATGGCAAAAATATTATGGCAAATGAAACTGAGCCGATTAATGTGTAAATATATGAAGGGTCAATTGAAATAATGATTACAAACCGTTTAAACTTTTAAATCAGAGTTTAAATAAAGGTTTAAACTGATCAATTAAACAGTATGGAAATATAAGAAACATGAAATATATTAGGCTTTAGGGAATTTTTTAAGATTTATGGCAGAGTGAAATTTACCAATTTATGTGACAGAATTTATCTCAGGTTTCACAGATATTTAAAGAGCGTGTGAGAACCCCCAAAAATCAAAATGTGCCATTTTTTCGGAACAGATTTTAGAATTTTGGGGATTAGCCGGTTCTTTACACTTATTGCCGGTGTTATTCAATCTTTTTTTTATAGGATGCAATTCATAGCTAAAAGTTTTATATCAAGTCAGTTTAAAAAATCAGTGTGATGTTCGCATTTTAAATTTCCTAAATAACCTTCAATCATCTTTAATTCAAAAATAAGATTACTATTTTCAATGCTTGCATAAGTTAAAAATCAAATATTTCACCAAATTTTAAGATTTTTGTTTTACCCGGAAAATTTTCTGGTGGGTGTTCTCTTAACCTGGAATCCTGGGGTTCCTTAATTAAGTTAATTAATTAATTAATAAAATATCTATCAATCAATCAATAATCTATGAATCAAAATTATTCAATCATTTAATTAATTAATTAATCAATTAATTAATCAATTAATCAATCAATTAATCAATCAATCAATTCATCAATGAACCAAATTATCAACCAATCTATCTACCAATTTATCAACCAACCAATTCATCAATCAACCAATTCATCAATCAACCAAATTATCAACCAATCTATCTACCAATTTATCAATCAACCAGTTTATCAATCAACCAATTCATCAATCAACCAGTTTATCAATCAACCAATTCATCAATCAACCAATTTATCAATCAACCAATTCATCAATCAACCAGTTTATCAATCAACCAATTCATCAATCAACCAGTTTATCAATCAACCAATTCATCAATCAACCAATTTATCAATCAACCAATTCATCAATCAACCAAATTATCAACCAATCTATCTACCAATTTATCAATTAACCAATTCATCAATCTACTATGCCACTAAGCTACTAAACAATCAATTTTACTAGTAAGCTACAATGTTACTAAGCTAGTAAACTATCTATTAAACTACTAAACTACTAGGCTACTAAGCTACGAAACTAACTATTAAACTACTAAACTACTAGGCTACTAAGCTACGAAACTAACTATTAAACTAATAAACTACTTTGCTACTAAGCTACGAAACTACATATTGAACTACTAAAGTACTATGTTACTAAGCTATGAAACTAACTATTAAACTACTAAACTACTATGCTACTAAGCTACGAAACTAACTATCAAACTACTAAACTACTATGCTACTAAGCTACGAAACTAACTATCAAACTTCTAAACTACTATGCTACTAAGCTACTTAACTATCTATTCAACTACTATTCACTAAAGGTTCCTATAAGCCTACTACTGTCAATAGTGTCTTTGTGACCAATTTTTTATCCATTTAGTTTGATAGTAGTTGAGGCACACCTTGTCCGTATTTATTGTCCTGTAGAGAACACCTACGCCTATTTTCATATTCATATCTTTTTTTAAAATAAGTGTCATTTAATATTAATTATACAGTGTGTATGTAAAGTGCACATTGTACATGTTCATAATCAATGTTCAAAGTAAAGATCAAAAACAATGATAGAACACTAGATGTCGTCTTTTCAAGATTAAAGGTTTTTTCGTTCACAATACCCTGAGACAGAAGCCCACAGGAGTTAGGCGCATGAATTACAAGACAGTGAGAGAGCATGCGCGTAACTCCTTTGGGCTTCTGCCTCAGGATTATTATGAACTAAAATCTCCTTCATCTTGAAAAGACGACATCTATAAATTTATGGTTCAAACAATTCCAGGGCGCGTCGCGTCTCTCTTTCTAGCTAGCTTTTAATTTTTGTTTTGATCATGGTCATTTTTTCTCCGTGCATTATTATACAAACAAAATTTCACAGATTTTCAAGTTACTGTACGTAAATATTTTAAATCTTTTGACTCCAATCGGTCATATACCATCAATCATCATGTTTGGTCAGAAAAAAATATTCGAACTGTTTGACGTTTTTTAAATTCAAAGAAATCACAACAACCATAGATTAATCAAATGATAGTTATTTTTTTGTATCCTAGTAATTTAACTTTTCAAGCTGTAGTCCTTATATTTTCTATGAAAGTTTAGCCAGACATAATAATTTTTTATTGAAAAGAGTTTTTTTACATTGCATTGTGACTATATGATTAATAAGGAGCGCTTTGCGGATTTAACGCTTTTAAATGTTGTTTTCGTGTAGCCACTTTTCAAATTGACATTTTTATGTATACATATTTATATGTTTACAGATTTAAAAATTTCATATTCAATTTAATTATTTGTATCTAGAATTTACTATTTCATATTTTGCATTTGACTGTATTGAAAGTATGGGTAAGAGTGGTTTGATTTAAAAAGCTGAGAAATCTTGAATAACTTGATTTTGAAACAAGTCTCAGCTCAAATAGTCTGGGTTCTTTATTCATTTCGTCCTGTAGCTAGGGGTGTCACATAATAACATTCTAATAAAAAACTTACATTATTATGAAACCAATTGTATCCTAGAGATTACAACTGCAGTGTTGTCAACCATTAACTATGCTCCGTGTAAAGTCGTCTTTAACTTAGATCCCCTCTCGGAGACACCAAAACCAAACCAAATAATTTCAACCTCCGGTTTCTTTGTTCTCCCTGTCGGAATATAAACAACCTAAAGCATTGTGAATCCATCCATTTTCAAAACTTAAACAAAGAATATTTTCATATAAAAAATTAGTGACTTTTGTTAATAATTAATTGTCATTTATTTCAGAAGTTTAAAAACGTTTTAGTACTGTCCAACTACTTAATCCCTTTGTTAAATAGATCGTAAGAATTTTTTCATTATAAACATTCATTGTAACAGTTTTTATATGTTATCATTTATATAATTACTTCAGGAAATAAAGAGATTCTTCATTATCGATTTTGATTTGAGGGTTATGCTGTTGTTTATCTGTTCATCATTGAGAATCTTGTTTCTATCCGTCAACAAGTGTTTAAATTGTATCCTAGAGATTACAACTGTAGTGTTTAAATTGTATCCTAGAGATTTCAACTGCAGTGTTTAAATTGTATCCTAGAGATTACAACTACAGTGTTTAAATTGTATCCTAGAGATTACAACTGCAGTGTATAAATTGTAACCTAGAGATTACAACTACAGTGTTTAAATTGTATCATAGAGATTACAACTGCAGTGTTTAAATTGTATCCTAGAGATTACAACTGCAGTGTTTAAATTTAACAATTTTGTCCTTAAAAAGCGCTTTTGCTGTTTTTTCAATTGATCCTCCATTTATGGCATGTTCGATAAACAATGGTACCCTTTAAACCTTTGCCTTCTCAAAACTAACTGAAATATATTTTTTTGTAGAAAATTGATTTTTTTACTGTAGTTTCTTTATAAAGTTAGAACCTAACGCTTTTCTTGATGAAAGATAATTTTTGCTGATAAGAGTTTTGAGGACACTGCTGTGAATCGGCAACTCCTTAAATTCACGTACGTGTACAGTCCTTTTAACGTTTCTATGCTTTTAAAAGAATTCACTTGTACAGGGATAATTAAAACATATATAGCAAATAAACCCCCCTGATTCCTTGGTTGCAAGGTTCAAATATCAATTACAAATTCAGGTCGAGGATCATAAATTATAAAAATGCATAATACGTAGTTGAGATACACCCTGATAACTTGGACTTAAATAGATCTTAGGATTATTGATTTTCCTCATGGTCCCTACTCCATATTCCCTACTCCCTACTCCCTACTCCCTACTCCCTACTCCCTACTCCCTACTCCCTACTCCCTACTCCCTACTCCCTACTCCCTACTCCCTACTCCCAGAGGTCCATGAAAGTAAACATAAATTCAGCAGAGTAACCAAAATTACAGAACCATGGTGGAGAGTTTAGAAATTAAATGATTTTTAGTTAAAAAAAAATAAAATTATTGATTGATTTCCTTGAAACTGTTTAATATGAGAACTTTATAGTTAATAACATGGATACATGTTTCAGCAAATTAACATTTTGTAGTTTCGGAGTTCACTAGTTGCACAGAAATTCTTAATTCTTAATATGTTTAGCAATCAGCTGGTTCTAAACATTTTGGTCAACTCTGTACTCAATGTTAATTTGTCCCAAACATTTTGGTTTACTCTGTACTCAATGTTAATTTTGTCCTAAATATCTTGGTTTACTCTGTACTCAATGTTAATTTTGTCCTAAATATCTTGGTTTACTCTGTACTCAATGTTAATTTTGTCCTAAATATCTTGGTCAACTCTGTACTCAATGTTAATTGTCTAAACATTTTGGTTTACTCTGTACTCAATGTTAATTTGTCTAAACATTTTGGTTTACTCTGTACTCAACGTTAATTTGTCTAAACATTTTGGTTTACTCTGTACTCAATGTTAATTTGTCTAAACATTTTGGTTTACTCTGTATTCAACGTTAATTTGTCCTAAATATCTTGGTTTACTCTGTATTCAATGTTAATTTGTCCTAAACATTTTGGTTTACTCTGTATTCAATGTTAATTTGTCCTAAATATCTTGGTTTTCCTACTCAATATTAAGTAATCAGTTCTAAACATTTTTGTGTACTCAATGTTAATCAGTTCTGAACATGTACAGTTATGACTTGAATAGTCTAATGAACATCAGACACAACCTTTGTGCAGTGTAAACAGACCAATTTAACTTAATAATTAATTCAATATGTTACTTCTTCAACTACAAATTTGCTTTGTAACAAAATTAAATACACTTCAGTATTGCTATATTACCCAAAACAGTTTGGCTTATTCTACTCCCACTACTTAATCTTAAGTACTTCCTCTGAAGGAGATGGATTTTTCAACATTATTTGTTGTAGAAGGTAGAGAACTTGATGGGGGGTATAGATGGATATGGATGGGTATTATTTGAACCTATATTAGTGGTTGAAGCGTGCACGCACTTTTATTAAAACTAATAGTTTGCACACGCAGTTTTCTGGCGCGCAAATTTAAGCAATTGCTTTTTTTGCATATCGTTTTGCAAACACGTGAATATTTCAGATTAGAATGAACATTTTTTTTTAAAATAGAAAATATTTAATTAAATTCCACTCTGCAAATTAAAGCCTGATGACAGTTGTTTCAGAAATATTTACATTTGCATAATAAGCAATAAATGCAGGTGCATCTAGGAGATTAAAATGTTTTTAAAGCCTTTCATGCTAGGACCATATAGACAGGCACTTTACAACTGCACTTAACACTACGGCATGCACTTAATTTAAATCTTTTAAACATAATTGTATGGTGCATTTAAATCTATATCGTTTATATATTCTTTCTTAAAGTTTTAAAATTTTAATGTTTTTTTTTGCATAATTACAAAATTCATTCAAACATAATTGAGAATACACCAAATATGCAAATAAAAAACTCTCTAAAAACTGCACGTCTCTACTCTACCTCTATGACAACTCCACCTCTCTACTCTATCTCTATGAAAACTACACCTCTCTACTCTACCTCTATGAAAACTCCACCTCTCTACTCTATCTCTATGAAAACTACACCTCTCTACTCTACCTCTATGAAAACTCCACCTCTCTACTCTATCTCTATGAAAACTACACCTCTCTACTATTCCTCTGTGAAAACTACACCTCTCTGTGCTCTATACCTCTATGAAATCTACACCTCTCTACTCTATCTCTATGAAAACTTCACCTGTCTACTCTACCTCTATGAAAACTACACCTCTCTGTTTTCTATACCTCTATGCAATCTTAACCTCTCTCTACTCTATCTCTATGAAAACTACACATATCTACTCTACCTCTCTGAAAACTGCACCTATCTACTCTATCCCTATGAAAACCTCACCTCGCTACTCTACCTCTATGAAAACTACACCTCTCCACTATTCCTCTATGAAAACTACACCTCTCTCTACTCTACCTCTATGAAAACTATACCACTCTGTTCTCTATACCTCTATGAAAACAATACCACTCTATGTTATACCGTTTTATACTTAGGAAAATGCAGTATCATCCTTTTATCTTGATGCAGACAGAGATACACCTTAATCTTATATATTATATAATTCATCATCTTGATTTAAACTTATCTTTCTATCTATCCTTCTATCTATCTATTATTGTCCACATATCTCGAAGTTACATCTAGAAGACGTATACAACTAGATCTACCAAATATGGTCCAAATCTGTATAGAATATAATGCGTAGAATAGGGCACACCAAAATAAAATCAGAAAAAAATGCGTAGTTGATTATAATCACTTGAAAAAAGCATGGATAGTTGGTTGAACAAATAAAAACAATTTGCTCTCTAAACAACAGAATATTAGAAAAATGTAACGTAAAAACTGAAAGGGTAAATTTCGTAGCATAAGGATTTGAAGATTTATAGAAACGATCCAATTTTTATGTTCTTTATTGTATTGTACGCGATCCTTTTCCAAATTTCGAGTTTTAACGGTATACTAAGCGTAATCTCAAGTGAACCTCCATGCAAAGATGACAATGCCTGATTCACACCATACACATCATTACAACTTTTATTTGATCAATAATGTGAAAGATATTGTTGTGTTTCAAATGATAGGTTTAAGTGTTTAACTCTGATAATTCATAAATGTTTTCCTAAGTGTAGAAATGCGCAAGTCACTTGCGTAGAGAAACCACATTCGAAAATTATCGTTTCATAATTATAAACATTGATATTTAATTTATACTTGATCAGACAACGATTTTAAGGTTACTGTTCAGAATCTTTGCATGAAGGGTCGGCCGAAATTAAGCTTATAGTCCCTTTAAAGATCTAGTCATTTCTAGAAAAGTTTTTGATGTCAAATTTTGGGGTCGTTGTGCACTTGGAATTGAATTTCTCCAACAAATTGTCTTAAGTTACACCGCATTGTTGTCTTGCGTGATAAAATTACTTTTAAAGAGGTTTAATGAGACAAGTGATTGTTGTTGTTGTATACAAGAAACAGGTTTTACATACTGTTTATTACATCAAGGTGTAACGAGAATACTGAAGAATAAAACATAAAATCTAAATTATTACGTTAAATGTCTTCTCTCTTCTAGATGTTATCAGCTTGTAAGGCCGCTTGATAAAATTACGAGGCATTTGCACGCTTATTATCGGTTCTCTTTTAGACTGCTGTTTTAGTCTTATACACATATATAATTATTATGGCGCCAAATTCTCTACATTTATAAGTTTTATATCTTATCAAATGGCTCTTTTCTGATATGAATATTCTAAGTTTTCTTAAAGCAGGCGTTTTATTATTTCGCTTGAATTTAGGTTTGATATTAGGACCGTAAACTGGACGAACTGGACTTAACTTATCATTTTCATTGATCCTCATTTTCTTCATCAAATTCCATTTATGTAAGTTTTTATTCTGACACGAAAGTAAAAGTTAAAACTGGTCAGATTCGTATTTTTAATTCAAGATTTTTTTCTTATATTCATTTAATTTTCAACAATCTTTTTTTTTGCAATCAATCCCCTAGCATTACTTTTCTTGACCCTCCTCCCCCCCCTTGAAATATTCGTGGTCTTACCCCCCCCCTTGCCTCCCCTCCTTCGAATGATGAATGGTTTGAATAGAAAATTTAATGAGTTGAAAAATAATTCTTAAAAACATACAACAAAAAGCATGAAGACAAACAAGTAAAGAAATCAGCTGACAAACAAAGTGAAAATAAAGCTGCAAACAAGCAAACAATTCCTACAAACAAATTTACAAACACCCAGTCTTAACAAATAAGCATATTCAACCGGGGTTCTAGCATATCAACGACAAACAGAAAAACAAAGAACAAACAAACATATCAAATAAAGAACTAAACCAACATATCAAACAAAGAAATGACCAAACATATATAATAAAATACTAAACATATCAAACAAAGAAATAATCAAGCGTATCAAACAGAAAACTACACAAACATATCAAACACAAAACTACACAAACATATCAAACAAATAACTAATCAAACATATCAAACAGAAAACTAATCAAACATATCAAACTAATAACTAACCAAAATTATCAGACAAACAATTAAACAAACATATGAAACAAAGAACTAAAGAAACTAAGTATTAAACAAAAAGGAAATATAACCAAAAATAAACTAAAACTGACCTCGGAAGGCGGGGGACTCCAAAGATGTTAAGGATGGATTGATCAGATTGGATGGATCTGATATATTAGAGGGATCGGAGGGATTTGTTTGATTAGAGGGATCGGAGGGATTTGTTTGATCGGACGGGTTGGAGGGATTCGGTTCCTCCATCTTTTCCTCTACGTTCCCAAGAACCGCCCTCGCCAAACTCTTCCATTTCTCCGCCCTCTTATTTGGCGTATGATGAGGGTTCAGGGGCGGATAGGAGGCGGATGGTCGTTTATTGTCGAGGGGCGGATGAGTAGGTGTGGCGGGTTGCACACTAAATCGACGCCCTTTGCTGAAAAAAAATAATTCAAGATTCAAAAAAGTTTTTTTTATATTTTCTACCTTGGCGGTTTGTCAACTGTTCTACCGAATATTGTAGTGGCGGAGTAACGGCGCATAGACTGGAATAGAGAATTAGATTCACGCCGTGAGAAGAAATCCGAGGCGGAGCTCCGCCGATTTTGATCCATCCTTTTTAATCACTCTTATTCCTTGATTGACATTAGTAAATTTTGTGAGAGGAACATCCTTCTTAAGTCTTTTAATTTAATTTTTTAAGATTATATTTTTCAGTTAGTATCACTTTCACTTTTTAATCTTACTTTCACTCTGTATACTTTGAGACTTCACTAGTTTTGTCTGGTGGATAAACCGGGTTAGTTTCACATTTTAAAATTATATTCAGGGGACTTTTGGGAAATTTCTGATTTGCCGCCATATTTTACAGCGGAAAAATTTATCAGAAACATGTCACTCACTCGAATTTATTTTTTAAGGAATTTCAATTCGTTCTGACATTTTTAATCCTAGAGATGATCTGAAAAAGAATTTGTAAGATTATTTAGATTTTTAGGTTTTCAATCTCCCGGTCTCCAGAATATATTTAGGATAAAGAATTCTAGAAAATAAATATTTAAAAAATCTAATATTCAAAAATGTGTTTTTCTATTTTTTTCAGCTTTAGAAAACTGTGAAACTGCCTAAATTTAGATCAGATATTATAAATTTTTCTTTGGTTGCGAATAAACCAATTATCGTAAAAACTAAAATCCCGCTGATTCCTTGATCCCTCCATACTTTAAACTTTTATTCGTAAGCTCCTTCAACATATTCACACATATTAAACCCTTCCTCACACCCTTCAACATATTCACATATTAAACCCTTCCTTAAACCCTTCAACATATTCACATATTAAACCCTTCCTTACACCCTTCAACATATTCACATATTAAACCCTTCCTTACACCCTTCAACATATTCACATATTAAACCCTTCCTTACACCCTTCAACATATTCACAAATTAAACCCTTCCTTACACCCTTCAACATATTCACGTATTAAACCCTTCCTTACACCCTTCAACATATTCACATATTAAACCCTTCCTTACACCCCACGTGAGAAAGATTTCTTGGTAGGATGATGTGGGATTGCAGGGATTTCTTATTAATATGGCTGTACTCCCATTAATCAACATTGTTGTACTCCCATTAATCAACATTGTTGTACTCCTACTAATCAATATGGCTGTACACCTACTAATCAATATGGTTATACTCCTACTAATCAATATGTCTGTACTCCCACTAATCAATATAGCTGTACTCCTACTAATCAATATGGCTGTACTCCTACTAATCAATATGGCTGTACTCCTACTAATCAATATGGTTATACTCCTACTAATCAATATGTCTGTACTCCCACAAATCAATATGGCTGTACTCCCACTAATCAATATGGCTGTACTCCTACTAATCAATATGGTTATACTCCTACTAATCAATATGTCTGTACTCCCACTAATCAATATAGCTGTACTCATACTAATCAATATGGCTGTACTCCTACTAAATCAATATGGCTGTACTCCCACTAATCAATATGGCTGTACTCCTACTAATCAATATGGCTGTACTCCCACTAATCAATTTGGCTGTACTCCCACTAATCAATATGGCTGTACTCCCGGCCATTAATCAATGTTACTCCCACCTGAGATCTGTCTCTAGCCTGTAGAAGTATAATCTCGGATTATAGGATAACTAATGGTGACACAACAATAGACAAAGAACTACATGAATAGATGCAAGGCGCCTACTTAACAATTTACAGTTTTTGCTACTTCATTATCATAATTACTGCGCTACTTTAAGAAATCTTTCCACCTTAAAGTATTAAAGTTTTTGCTTCTGGTGTAGATATTTTGCTACTTCAATAGTTACCAGATACCAGACCCAGATATTAGACCAAACCAGATACAAGACTTAGATACCAGACCAGACCAGATGCCAGACCCAGATATTAGACCAGACCAGATACAAGACCTAGATACCAGACCAGACCAGATACCAGACCCAGATATTAGACCAGACCAGATACAAGACTTAGATACCATACCAGACCAGATGCCAGACCCAGATATTAGACCAGACCAGATACAAGACCTAGATACCAGACCAGACCAGATACAAAACACATATGTCCAAGATGGTTCACCGACATTGGGTAAAGCAAATAAGGGTCAAACGGAAAACGGGCAAAATGACGCATTCTGGTTAAAGTTCAGATTGGGTTCAGACAATTTCTGGGCAGAGTACCGCGGCAAGGACAGGCTAGGGGCGAGGGGTGGGGTCATAACACTATTTATACTGCATAAAATCTAATTATACCCTGAATTGTTTGTATAACATATATTTTGTCCATTTACTGCACTTTTTAAATCTGAATTTCACCTATTTGTCCTTTGACGCACCATGACGTCGGTGAATCCAGATACAAAATAATAAACCCAGAAACCAGATAATAAACAAAGTTCCCAGACTCCAGATACCAGATAATAAACCCAGATACCAGATAATAAATCCTGATACCAGACCCAGATACTAGACTTAGATACTAGACTAAGATAAAGAAAGCAAATACGTGGGAGCAACTTCAAAAGAAAAATCAAATATTCTATTCATCCTTAATCTTAATCTGATTCTAGACAATCCATCAATCATCCCCCCCNAAGTATCGAGTTAACCTTTAATGCTGCGTATCTGAAGATTAAATCTGATTTTAGCACCAAAATTTTCATTAGTGGTTTCCAGCAGTGCAATAACTAGGAATAGATCGATACAAGAATATAAAAAGAGATGATAAAATAAGGGAGATGAACAAACCATGATAATAACTAGGAATAGATCGATACAAGAATATAAAAAGAGATAATAAAATAAGGGAGATGAACCAGGGTAATAACTAGGAATAGATCGATATAAGAATATAAAAAGAGATGATAAAATAAGGGAGATGAACAAACGTTCGTTTAGTATCCGAGGAGGTTAAAAGCATGGAATTTTGATAATTTTGATAATTCACATAATAGTTTCCTATGACCAGAATATTTCATTGATTATTTATGTGAAAGATGGATCCCATGTCAGGCTTCAACATCCGTCTTGTGTTTACATTACCTCCCAGTGACAGTACACTGCAGTACAAAAGATGCGTACACCTCTTAAATAACTTTCCTTGCATTAAATCCTTGTGATTGAGTGCCTATTTTATGACAATCGGAGAGACTTATACAGTGTACACATTGTACACAATCAACCTAACCTAACCTAACCTAACAAATATAGTCTCAAACAAAGCAAAAGATTTAAAGATAAATTATAATATAACTGTAAAAATTATTATATAAATATGTTTAAGTTAAAATGATAAATGAATTGAAAAAGAACAAGTTTACCATTGCAAGAAAATATGAATGTAAGAGAAAAAATCGTACAGTCGTCTTTGACGTCTCATCCTTTATGGGTAACCCTGAATACAGAGATATTTGGGTAGCATATAAAATTATTACATACTTTTATATTAGTTTTGTAAAAGGGGGAAATGTGAATTCATTACTTTGTAATTGTAAACCGTTCTACATTTTAATACAATTCTTTATATTTTTAATTTTTTTTTTTGCTAAACACAAACAATCTTTCTAGTTATACTTTAATGTTCAGTTAGGATCCAGCGGTGATAAAAATGTTCAAGTAGCAACATGATACACGGATACAGTTCTCAAGGCAGGGCATGAGGGGTAGGACGAGTGTTGACATTAGTTCTCCATAGATGGAGCTAAGAAGAGGGATCAGATAGCTTTAAATACAGGCAATATCACGCTAAACTAAATCAAAAGTAAGTTTTAAAAAACGAAAAGTATTCATTGAAAGTCTTAGTTATTTTAAACTTTTCATAGTTTGTAAATCGTTAAAAAAAACCCGCAGAATTTAACAGAGAAGGTGCTTGAAAGCGCTTGAAGCAATGATATTTTTCCATGATGATTTTCCGTCTTTCTTTCTTGTTACATTGGCGTGATTTACGACGGGCAGATTTAGGCAGATTCAAGTATTCTTTACAAGAGCATAGACTACTGGCGGCAGAGGGTAGATATCTAGATAGATAGCTGCACTGTTAGAGGGTAAATATCTAGATAGATAGCTGCACTGTTAGAGGGTAGATATCTAGATAGATAGCTGCACTGTCAGAGGGTAGATATCTAGATAGATGGCTGCACTGTTAGAGGGTAGATATCTAGATAGATAGCTCTGGCAGGGGGTAGATAATTAGATAGATAGCTGGACTGGTTGGGGATAGATATCTAGATAGATAGCTGCACTGGCAGTGAGTATATGATTAGATAAATAGCTAGTTGCATTGGCAGAGGGATAGATAATTAGATAGATAGCTGCACTGACAGGGGGTAGATAATTAGATAGATGCCTGCACTCCCATGGGTAGATGATTGGATAGATAGCTGCACTGACAGGGGATAGATATCTAGATAGATAGCTGCACTGGCAGGGGATAGATATCTAGATAGATAGCTGCACTGGCAGGGGATAGATATCTGGATAGATAGCTGCACTGGCAGTGAGATATAATTATATAAAAAGCTAGTTGCATTGGCAGGGGGTAGATAATTAGATAGATGCCTGCACTCCCATGGGTAGATGATTGGATAGATAGCTGCACTGACAGGGGATAGATATCTCTAGATAGATAGCTGCATTGGCAGGGGATAGATATCTAGATAGATTGCTGCACTGTTAGAGGGTAGATATCTAGATAGATAGCTCTGGCAGGGGGTAGATAATTAGATAGATAGCTGCACTGGCAGGGGATAGATATCTAGATAGATAGCATCAGTTTATTCAAGGAATTACAAAAAAGGAGAATGGAATGTGAAATCCTAAATAGAAGAGAATAATACAATTGACCGATAAATACTGCTAGATAAACTGATTGACAGTAGGTAAACAAATGGTAAATGGAAAGATGGCAAAAAAGATGCTTTATTTATTAGATATAGGAAAGTAAAGTAGATGAATAGATAGATAGATAGCTTGATGGAATAGTAGATAGATGGATAGATGGATAGATAGGTAGATAGATAGATAGATAAATAGATAGATAGATAGCTTGATGGAATAGTAGATAGATGGATAGATAGGTAGATAGATAGATAGATAAATAGATAGATAGATAGATAGATATATAGATAGATAGGTAGATAGATAGATAGATAGAAAGATATATATATATATATAAAGATAGATAGAAAGATAGAAATATATATTTATATATAAAGATAGATAGATAGATAATGACAGAGGTTAAATTGTTTAATTTGCTTTTATCTGTGGGTTGGTTTTGTAAAGCAAGGGTCAAAGCTCAAAGAACACATCTACAGCATTCTAATTAGTTATATTAGACACATATGTACACACAAGACTCTAAATACTAGACAGTAGACAGTAGACACTA